TGGTGGAGAGCGCTCTGTATGCGGCGATTTCTCGCCGCCTCCTCAGCCCAAACGGGGGCGCCGCACAAGGCGATCGACGCGACGACCCCCGCGTACAGCCGACGGGCCCTCCCGCCCGGCCCTCCCAAACTAGAGAGGAGCCTAGCCAGGGCAAGGGCGGCCCGGCCTGACTTCTCGGCCACTTCCTTGAAATGCTCCTCGAAGGAGAGGCGTCTATCGAGTCTGAGCCCCAGATATCGCATGCTGGGGCCCAGTCGCACCTCGACCCTGTCGACCCTCACCGCGAGGCCGGGGGGCCTCCCCCTACGGTGAAACCCGACGGCCTCGGTTTTCTCCGGTGCGACCCGGAGGCCGAGGCCGTGGATTGCCCCTATTACCGAGAGGAGGGCGTCATCCGCCAGCAGTTGCGCCTCCTCCCAGCTCCCCCCGGCTGCCAATACGATGGTGTCGTCCGCATAGCAGACCACCGAGCAGCCGGGGGGCAAGTCGGTCTCAGATAGGACCAGATTGAAGCCGAGGTCCCACAGGAGCGGGCCCAGAATGGACCCCTGCGGGACCCCCTGCTCCACCACCCTCCTTTGCCGCGTCCCATTCCCCACCCCGAAGACGAGGCAGCGGTGCTGCCCCAGATATGAACGCAGCACTCTGCGCAGGTATGGCGGCACGCGGTGTCGCGTGAGCGCGCGGCCAATCGAGCTCCAGGGGAGGGAGTTAAAGGCGTTCCTCACATCCAAGGAGACACTGATAACCACTCCCCCCCTCTCCCATGCCTCCTTAATGGAGGTCATGACGCACGACGCTGCATCGATGGTGCTCCTTCCCCGCCGGAAACCGAACTGCATTTCATACAGATCCGGTCCCCGGCTCTCCAAATGCGCAACCACGCGCCCGAGGACGACCCTTTCGAGGAGTTTCGCCTCCTCGTCCAGGAGACAGATGGGCCTGAACCCCGAAGCAGCGTTCGCCGGCTTACCCGGCTTCCGCAGGAGCACAAGCCTCGCCTCCTGCCAGACCCGTGGGAAGTGGCCTCTCCTCAGGCACTCGGAGGTCAGCGCGCGGAAACGCCCGCCCAGGATCCGGGCGGCCGATCCCCACACCCTCGCGGGCACTCCGCTCAGCCCGGGAGACGCGTCGCGCTCCAGCATCTTCTTACGCGCGAGTGCCAGCTCCTCTTCGGAGACCCCCAGGTCCTCGCTCCAAGCGCCCCAGCCGGTCCGCGGGAGGCAGTGGTGCACATTTGGCTCGCCGGCAACACGGAAAGTCTCGCTCGCTCTCGCGCAGCGGCAAAGTGGTGGGGCGGTTTTCCGTGTTGCCGGGGAGCCAAATGTGCACCACTGGCAGGAGGGGGGGCTCCACCCATTGCTGTCCGCCAGCGTCGGGGGGAAATAGCTCGTCAAGCACGCCCCCCAGGACCGGCGGCTCCAGCGCCTCGGTGTACGGCGCCGACCAGTGCCGGAGCTTATTTCGCACCGTTAGGTACGGTTTGCCCCAGAGGTTCTCATCGAGGGACCCGACAAATTCTTCCCACGACTTTGTCTTCGCCCTAGAGATGGCGGTTCTGAGACTCTTTTTCGCCATCCTGAGCGAATTGGCCCTTCGCTCCGTCTCCGCAGCGTTTGCGCCTCTGCGACCGGCTCTTTTAAGCGCCCTGCGGGCAGCGAAGGCCTCTCGTCTCAGCTCGGCCAACTCTTCGCTCCACCAGGGCATGGCCCGGCGGGGCTGTGGCCTCGTTCGCGGCATGGCCACGTCACACGCTCGGCGAACTATGGCCCTCATTCGGCCGGTCGCCGCCTCCAGGTCCCAGGTGGAGGGCTCCCCGTCCGGTGCCATGCCCCCGGCTATCAGCGCGGCCTCCAAGAGGTCGCCGTTCAGGGCCCCGAGCTTCCATCTCTTGCTTCGCGCCGCGCCACGCTCGCGACGCTGCGCCGCGGTCTCCGCCAGTGAAATGTGGACATAATTGTGGTCCGACAGGGTAATCGTCGGGAGAACTGCGAAATCTCGCGCCCTGGCCGCCACCACTGGACTACCGAAAAGCAGATCTACTATTGAGGCTCCCTGTGGCCTCACGCATGTGGGACGTGTGCCTGTGTTTAGGCACAACAGCCCCACACTGCGCGAGGATCCTGCCCCTGAGATCGGTGGCAGGAGAGCCTCACAGCTCCGCGTGAGCGTTGAAATCCCCGCCGAGCAGCACTGGCTTCCCGTCAGCCCGGGCGACACATTCCTTCACGGCGGTGAGGACGTCCTCAAACGCGGACCTGGTGGCCGCCGGCGAGACATACACGCCGATTACCACGATGTCCCCCCATCTGGCGGCGGCGTATGCCTCCCCCGTCTCGAATGCCATCGCGGGAAGGGGGCGGGCACTTCTCCTCCACGCGAGGGCGGCGGTGCCGTTTCGGCTGACCGCCCAGTTGGGATGGTCGTCCGGAGTCCAATACGGCTCCGTAATAACGGCCATCCCGTAATCCCCCTCCGCCAGGGTTTGATTCAGGAGATCCCGAGCCCTGGCGGAGTGGTTGATGTTGGCTAAAAGTAGCCTGTTAAGCTCAATCCTGGGACCAGGCATTTGATTGGTCTGGTCGTTGTTCATCCCAAGGATCTCCCGATGGACCCGGTTTTTCGGTCGCGGTCTCTAGAGATGTGCCGTCGTCGCGAGCCTCGAGGTGCTTTTCTGGCGCGAGGATCTCGCCCAGGGTTACTTTCCTCCCCTTCTCTGCCTGTGGCTATGCGCTGGATGTCGCTGGAGGCGCCCGGGCTTCTGGCATCCGGCTCTTACTTCTGGGTGGAAGCGGCGCTTCCTTGTGGACCTCGATCTCCATTGGTTCGGGTTCAGGCCGCGCCAACTCCGTCTCCATTCTGCTGACTTCGCCAGCATTCTCCCCCTCGCGTATGCGCTCCTCGCGTTTATCTGCAGCGCGTTGTCGCGCTGTCCCCCTCAGCCGCGGTAGGCGGGGTGGATTACAGGCCTTGCCGCCAAAACGGTGGCCAGCCGGCACGCCCCTCTCCGAGCAGAGCTCGCAGCGGGCCGCGCCGCTGCAGGTGCTCGCGGTATGTCTAGGTTCGCCGCACCGATAGCAGAACCCGCGTCGGTCCGTGGTGCCTTTGCACTCCGCCATCACGTGACCCTTCTCCCAGCATCTGTGGCATTGTAAGCCCCTATCCGCCAGGAATTCTGTGCGAACGCTAGTCCACCCAATTTTCATCCTGGGTTTGCTGGTTAGCTTGATCGCCGCTTTTAGCGGGCACCGTAGCCATATGGCCTTGAGCCCGCCCGACGCGTTTGTGGGTCTGCCCAGTGTAATGGCGGTCGGGCTGCACTCCCCCCGCCCTCAGGACGTCCTCCCGCGTGATTGACTCGTCGATATCCCGTATACGTACCTCCCCCGTTTTTTCCGGGCGTGTAATGGACACGTCTGCATTGTCCGCCGTTAGCGCGCTCATTTTTTGCGCCAGCTTGTCCGCTTTTTCAGCTCCTGTAGCGCCTCCGGCGATCTCCAAAAGGAAGGCCCCGGAGCGTGCCCGTCGCGGTCGCAAATCTTTTATACCGATGTCATCCAGGCAGATTTGGTCTCTTGCCATCTGCATGACACCGGCATAAGTCGCGTCTCCCGTGCAGCGTATGGCCACCACTGCCGTCCTTGAGGGGCGGGGGCGTCTTTTGATTGTTGCGGCCATCGTCTGTTTTGCCGTGGCCGCAGTGGCTCGTCGTGTGTCGAGGGCCGCTTTCTTTTTCTCTTTACGTCCGACCACGCGGGACCAAGGCTCCTCGCGTATGGTCGGGCGGTCAGAACTCAATCCCGTCCCCGGGACGTTTCTGCTGGGCCCGGCTTGGGGTTCCGTTCTCTCTGGTTGTGTCGCAATTTGTGCGACCTTTCTCTTTTTGGCGGGAGGTCTCGTCCCTTTTTCATCATTTACCTTTACGGGGGAGCGAACCTCGTGGGGGACGGGAGCGTTTGCTCCCGCTCCCAGGGAGGGGGCTCCCTTCCTTCTCACGCCTCCGGGACGAGCTCCCCGGGCGTCGCGGGCGCCCAAGGAGGGGGTCCTGTTTTCTGCGTTCCCAGGGCGAACCTCGTGAGCGCTGCGCGCCCCCAGGGGGGGGGGGACCCCGAGGACCCTGTTTATCTCCCGCGCCACTGTCTCCCTCACCATCTCCTCGATTGCTCGCAGAGATGAGGGGTCTATTACCGGGCTTCTTTCGTCTCCTGCCAACTCCTTATCCTGCCTTGTTGTTGCTCCTCCGGTGAAGGCTGTTTCTTTCCTTTTGTCCAATGCGATGACGTCTCTACGGTTTCTCAGCCGCTTTTGGATGGTCATCCTCTCCCCCTCTGTCAGGACTCTGTCCTCTAGAATCTTGACCTTCCCCTGTATGGCTGGCCTGATAGCCGGGGGACACTCCTTGACCGGGGGGGATGTGTCCCGCTTTCTCCCTCTCTGATTCATCCTCATCGGCGTCTCTTTGACTGTCTTCCGAGGTTGTTTTTCCCTTCCTCCTTTTCGCTTGGGCACATGTCCTCGTGCTTTTCCGTCTCTGTACTCGTTCTGAAAGTGTCTTTTTACCCCGCAAGGCCCACAGTTCGGAGAGGTACCCCTCCGCCCTGTCGTTGGCCCTGCGCAGTTCGGCCCGATCTATTTCTCTCTCGGTCTCAAGTTTCTTTTTAACTTCATCGAGCTCCTTTCTAAGGGCACGGATCTCTTCCGAGGTCGCGTTGCTCCTCATGCGTTTCACCCTGTCGTTTATCACCGAGTGGCACGCGAGAGCGGTGGCCGCGGCAACCCTAAGCGACTTTTGAAGCGTGCCCTTTAAATTTGACGACACCTTCGCAATTCTTATTACCTCGTTTTGACATGTCTCCATTTTCTCGGTGATTTCGCCATCGGTTTTGTCTGCCATCGTCTCTTTGAGTTCGTCTATATCTATCCAGCAGCTTTTGAGGAGCTCTGCTGTGCCCATGCTTCTTACTAGTTCTTCTCTTTGTAGTTGGAGGGCTTTCTCCTTCTGCTCATTTTCCTTTCTTTTGGCCTCCGCTCGCGCTATATATAGCCCGGTAGTCGGCGGCCTGCCCCTTTTTCTTGCGGGTTTTTTCCCTTCCTCATCCGAGAGTGCATTTTGCGTGGCCGTGGGTATGTATTCCACGTCGCTGTCTGGATTTCCCTTTTCTTTCGTGTTTCTAGCGCGGGTTTTGTTTTTCGAATCCGCGCTAGCACGTGTTCTGTGCGCGGGAGGTGAGCCAGGCTCTTGCTCCTCGTCATTTAAGTGGGCCACTCCAATCTTCCTTGAGAGGCCCCGAGATCCCCTCGACGAGATGGATTCGCCGTCCTCTTCGAGGGACATATTCCCGCTATTTTCCTGCACCTCTTTATCGGGGTCGCTGCCTTCCCTGTGTTTTTTGTCCTTGTTGTCATCTCCGGAGTTCTTGTGCGTTTGTCTCCTTTTACGCGAGGGACCGGGGATATCCTTAAAGGATTTGGGACAGGATCTGTTGCTACCCTTATTTGCCTCAGGCTCGCTTACCTCCGAGTTGGGGGAGGAGCTGGTGCTTTTCGCGCCTCCCATAAGGCGCATGACCTCCGGCCCCTTCTCCTCGTTCGGCACATCGTCCGATCGAGGGTGTTCTTCTGCGTCGTAATAAAGGCGCATGGTCTCTGCAGCTGGAAGGAAGCCAAGCCCTGTCCTGCTATCCTCCTCGAAGCCGCTCCATCCGAGGTCGGACTCATAATATTCGTCCTCCTCCATGACGAATTCCAGATCGTCTCCGATCCTCTCTTCGGTGGCCGAGGGCCAATCTCCCTCGACTTCCGCCCTCTCCTCTGTGTGAGGGGAGTCCTCTTTCTTCGCAGATGCATTTTCAACAGCCGCCCCTGCGGTGCAGGCGGCTGCAGGCCCGTCGTATGTTAACGACATGGGGGGGCCGGGACAGTACCCCTCCTCACGCCGGCGGTCTAGCTCCGAACCATCCCACGGTGATTTGTTGTTTGATGTCTCCATTCTTGTTTCGTCAAAGGTTGGTGGGCTATTTTACAAGCGGCCCACCACGCCGAGTTACGTTTTCCTTCGATGTTAAACGTGAGCAGGGCACGCGCCAGTGCAATAGGATTGAAAATCCCTTGGAGCATACCCTGCCCGAAACACCCCTCAAAGGCGTCCTCTGTGCAATGGGGGGAGAAACCCCCCTGAGGACCGCCCCTTCCCATGGTGTGCGACCGTCCCGAGAGACGATCGCAGCACCGCACCAGGGACGCCGCGCCGTGCTATGACCCTAGGGTCTGGCCGGCACCCTGGCCCAGGATCTTCGTGCAATGGGGGTTGCCCCCCGAAGATCCCTGGTGGCGTGCGGCCGCCCAAGGCCGGGAGCACCCGGACGATGGGCAGCCGCGCCTGCGGGAAGCACCCGCGTCGACCCTTGCGCCGGCAGGGACCCCGAGGGAACCACCCCACTCCCAAGAGGGAAGGGGAGGGCCCCACGAGGGAAACCTACCGGCAGTGGAGGTCGAAACCACACATCACGTCTCGGGCAGGGAGTAAACCTCCCCCTAACGGCGCCGAGCCACCGGGCGATTGAAGTCAGGGCCGCCAACCCCTACCGGCACAGTGGGGAACCGTTCCATAACGGAACGGATCCCCCAGGGGTCCCTCCGAAGAGGAGACCCCCTTGGGGTGCCGGACCCGGTGTACAGAGTCCTCCTATTTAACGGAGGACTCCGTACGGGACGCGTTAAGGTTTCCCTTGGGGGAGCCCCCTCGCCACGGCAAGGCCGCGTCCCACGAGGGAGGTATTATTATCCATCTTATCTAACCTATCCTTACCTGTTTTAATGAATTTATTTAAACTATTAACGGGTTTATATGCTATATTCAAATTATAATTACCGTAAATATTGTGAAATTTTTCTATTAAGTTTTTCACATAAGGTAAAGTGCAATAAATTTTAATATTATTATCAATCAAATCTTTATGATTCGTTTGCTTCAATTTATTATTATGAATAAGTGACCTAATTCTATTATTAATTGTGTTGAAAAGAAAATCTAATGGATACCCATTATTTAATAGAGTGTTGATCATATTAGAGATATTTAATGTATGATAATTAGGATGTGAAAGATATATAATTCTATCAATTAAGGAAAAAATAACTCCTCTTTTATGACATAAAAGATGATTAGAAAGAAAATTCAGATATCTCCCTGAATGAGAAGGTTTCTTATATAAGTCAAACATTATCTTATTATCTATTATTTTTATTGTTATATCTACAAAATTAACACTACGATCATCATTTTCTTCTAATGTGAACTTAATTCGATTATGTTGAGAGTTAAAAATTTCTAAAGTTTGATTAATGTTTTCTTTGGGCAATGCTAATAAAATATCGTCTACATATCTGTAGTATATAGGTATATCTATGTCAATAGTAGCATGAATTTTGCTTTCGATATCTTCCATAACCAAATCAGAAATAATAGGCGATAAAGGAGAACCCATAGGCATGCCGAATATCTGTTTAAAATACTTTTTCTCAAACTGAAAATATGTTGAGTTTAAAATAAATTTAATAGAATTAATAAAGTCATTAAGTGGAATTGTTGTATGATTCACAATGAGATCCCATCTTTTCACTATTCCTTCAATAGCTAATTCTATAGGAATGTTCGTATACATTGATTCAACGTCAAAAGAAACCAATTTTAAATCCGGATTTAAAGGTCTACCATTGAGTTTAGAAACTAAGTCAAAACTATTTTTTATAAACCCAAATTTTGATTTCTTCAAACTATTGTCAATGGTAATTTTTAAGTAATTAGCCAATGGATAAGTGGGACTATTAATACAACTTACTATTAATCTAAGAGGAAAATTAGTTTTATGGATTTTCGGCAGCCCATAGACTCTAGGAAGAACTCCATCAGTCATCAACAATCTTTTATATAAACTTTCATCAATGTATTTTTTATTCTTTAGATTAATTAAAAGACTCCTAGTGTCATTAGTTAATTTATTTAGTGGATCTTTATTTAATGCTAAATAAGTGCTATTATCAGAAAGTAAATTGTTCATTTTTTCTTTGTATTCAATATAATTTAATATTATTGTGGTATTACCTTTGTCTGCTCGAGTTATGACAATGTCAGGATTATCTTGGATAAATTCTTTAACTAAACTTGATTTTCCTTTTAAATTATTAATATCATCTAATTTATTATTATTGTGTAAATTTTTTAAGATAGCAATAGTGTCATTCCTATATAAAAATTGTTGATGTATATATGAGTTGTGTATATATATCTCTGATTTCAACTTGAGAGAACATTATACGACAATTTATTTAAGAATAACGAGATAAGGATATATCTTCCACGATCGAATCTACCGTTATTAGTTTTCAAGATATAGGTGAGATTACAGTTTTTACTTTTTAATTTTATCTGTATAATGTGGCGACAATATCTAATTAGTATATACATTTTAGTTTGACAATTAAATCTTGAAGTTAACGATCTTTGTAATTAATATTTTACATTGGAAGATTTTTATCTATCAATAATTTCATCTTGCGACTAATTACTCAACAATATTTATTGGATTTTTATAATTTGACAACGTAAAAACTTTATTACTCCACTAATTGTAACTGTCATTTTGTAATTATTTATATTTTTATAATTGTATTTATTT